ATCTGTCGCCTTTATCCCGCGGTGAAACAAAACGATGATCTTCATAAGAGCGAAGTGACGTTGTGACCTTTACAGTCTCAACCCGTTTTAACACCGGTGGGAAATTTTCCATCACAGCGCTCTCCTATCAAAACACCAAATACCTGCTGGAGGAACGTCGTGCGCCCCTCCAGGAGAGGCCAAGAGACTTGGAAAATCAATGCCAAGGCGCAGCGAGGCTGTTAGCTCATACTAACACAGCTATAAACTCTACTCGAACATTCATTTTTTCTACCAGGAAACTCACCCCTGCAGTATACGTGCAGCTGTAACATTATATGTCTGCGGTATGTGTGTGGACACTGATGAACAGAGCATTCATTCAAACAGCAGCAGTCAAAGAAAGCGCGCGGGCCTCGTGTCATCCGAGATTAATCGCTGTGATATAAATACTCGAGCGGCTGAAGAGCGAACTGTATTACAAGCCGGTTTGGACTCGGCCGTCATTTGGCTCATGAATCATCTTTGTTAATTGTATTTGCTACCAAAATTACACGAGGGAATCCTGTATCTACAAAATTGATAGTGGCTACAAATATTTGAGCCGTGTTTTTCTTTGACACCAGCGGGCTCGTCGTTTTGTCAGCGGCCCTCGGCTCCCCTCTGCTAGATGTGCCGTGACTTGATATATTGGGTCTTTTAGCCCCCGCTTTGGCTCAAATCCAAGGCCCATTTGTACAGATGGGGTTTTACGTCGGCCGTTTTAGCAAAGCACCCTCCCCATAAAGCCAAAGTGTCTCATCGCTTCATAATTGTGTGATTATGGTCAATTGCTGCGGTTGGGGTGACAGATTCTATCGGAGCCCAACAGATGCTTTTATCATATTTTAGATCTCCATTTGACCTTAATCAACCGTTACATGTATGAATAAAATGGGGAGGTGATATTTCACGGGATCAGGTGTGCGAGAGGAGCAGGTGTGACAGAACGAGGCCGTGAGGGACGATGACACACTTGGGTTAACCCACACGGCTGCTGGCGTGGCTGAAAAGTGATGCCGCTGAATGAACTGTGCAACAACCAAGGCAGACAGAGGGTGCCACCAGGTGGGAGAGGGTTGACATTACAGCGATTGTTTGAGGATCTGTGAAGTAGAAAGTTATAGCATATATATTTATTATTGTACAGAAGGCATTAAAATGAACCCAAACACTAAAAAATAGCACAAGTGCTCAGCTGAAGGCAAAAACGACACATTTCATTTCGACTCTTCCACAATGCTGATTTCTGAAACACAAACAAAAGGATGAGATGATCTGCCGCCGTCTCAGCCCGTCCCCTGGATCCTTTATTTATTATATAAAGTATTTTGCGTATTTGATTTGGTAAAAATTCAGCCTATAAGATGATTCATTCCTCGTTCTTTCAGCTACATGTTGCTAAATTTAAATCAGAAATAGGCTGATTTACTCTTGCAGCACTGAAACACTTCAGTGTCCAAGTTTGGCATTAAATCTATGAATACTTATAGACCAATAGAAGTACTTCAGATTCGTTTGCAGACATCAGGAAACAAAAATCTGTTTTGTTGTTAAGGATCCTCATCGGGGGAAAGTGAGCACGCTGAGGTTCGAGGGATCTTTGCCTACTAAGAGTAACTCGAATCTCTTTTCTCAACTCAGTGATTTCTGCCATGTTTCAGGCTTAATAGAACAAAAAGACTGCGTCTCTGACTCTCAAGCTACCCTGGGAAACATCTGGAAACTATTCTAATCAGCCCACATCTTTAATCAGACATACTGAGGTGACAAAAGTCATCGTTAAAGGTGCAGGGGAGGCCTGTGCTACAACATATCCAGGACATGTTTTCTAATAATAATACATGTGAAAACACTACAGCAGAAAATGAACGAGAACAATATTAAGAGATTTAAAATCCAGGAATAATATGAATGTAAGGCATGAAACAAGATGGTCAGAGGTGATGTGGCTGTAAAATCAGTTTCTCAGAGTCTAGCTGACAAAGATAAAGTGGTTATAGGTTCTATAGATGAGCTGCAGCACAGCTGAAGGCTCAAGTGCGATCACGCGGAGGCGGTTATCAACTGGATGCTCGACCCGTCTAACCATGAGATCACAAACTGAAAGCACGAGCACTGTGCAACGTTTACATCCCAGTATAAAAAAAAGTTTGTGTGCTTTTAAGCTCTTAAAGACCATTTAAAAACTCTCCAAAACAAACAGTTTAGGTTGATAGAGTCATCACTGTCAGTAGTGAGTAATGGGAAGATTTGGGTATAATTACAGCTGCTTGTTCCATTAGATTAATGCATTGTTTAGATTTGCTTCTTAGACTGTTTATGCCCTACTCCTTCAGCTGCATCTCAATCTAATATCGAAAGATAATTCAAGTCAGAAACATTTTACATAATGTCAACAAGTAAAATGCTCCGGGGGCTATTTTTAGCATAATGTCACTGTATTACAGCTCACAGAACAATAACAGTAATGCTTTGTTTGCAGACACCAGGAATAAAAAGCAGGAAATAAAGTTTGTTTTGTTTCTTTAATGATGTTCGTCAGGTTTCAGGGATCTATTTTCTAGAGAATTGATTGGTTAGTAGGCGGTGGTTTGGCACATATTGATCTTTTACCTTGAACATAACCTGCAGGTCAGGTCTGCAGCATGTTACTGTGGTGAGGAACCACCTTCACAACCCAGAAAACACAGTGTTAAGCCTGAAGTTTACCCATCACCTGCTACTTAGGGCCTCGGGACGTGAACGCGAACACAATGTCAGAGTTCTTCTCAACGTGTGCGCACAAATACATTTTTGCCATGATGTCACCACAGCAGTCAGAAACAGACATAATGTGACCAGGTGAGGCCCAACGTCCAACAACAGTAATGGTTTAAGGCATCTGCAAGTCAAGCACCTGTAAAATAAATGTTATTATACATATAAATATATATAAATGTAATTAACACTGAGAGAAATGTGAATGAATGTAAATTAATATACACTCGCTATAAAGCAGTTCACCTTTCGCAGCCTCGCTGTTTCACAGATTTATTTTTGTGTACAATTTTGAGTGCTTTTTTTTTTTTTAATACAGCGCATTTTCTCCTGCGTCCTGATTGGTCGCAGACCATTGTCAAAATCTCGCGCCGTGTCTCCTGTACAGTACAGACTGAGTTCAGCTTGTCAAATTTACATAAATCTTCGATCGCTAGCAGCGTGACTCTGAAGTGCTGCACTGTATGTTTGTAAGTTTTCTTCCCAACAAACAACACTGTCGACGAAACGTTTGCACCATCAAAGGCAGCTGCGGTAGCTCCCAGAAGGCAGAGGAAGATGCTAACCATCGCACAAAAAGTTGGACTTCCTGACATGCTAATGGAAGGTAGAAGTTACCGTATTTTCCGGATTATAAGGCGCATTAAGTGAAACGAAACAGTCAGATAAGTCAAACTTTACTCAGCTCCTTCTTCTTGCTTCCTCTACTTCCGTACCAGTGATTCATTAATGTTGAATTCTCTGGCAGCTGCTCGGTTCACATGTTCTGGACCTGAAAACAGGGTTTGATCTTTGGTTTCTTTCTATAATACTGGACTCATTTTTCTACCAAGGTTTGAACTTTGTGTGTAAACAAGAGAGAAAAGTGTGAGAATGTTCACGCCTGTCTGAGTGTATAAAGTGTGTAGTGAGGGGTTTTACAGCCTTAAAATATCTGTAATAACTGTAAAAAATAAAGTTGGCTACTTCGCGGATTTCACCCATCACGGGTTATTTTTAGAACGGAACTCTGTATTTACAAAATTAAACACGTAATTAAATGTACAACCCTGAAAAATGATGGAGTAATCAAAGTAAATGTAATCTAACCTCTTTGCATTAAGAAAGCAGTTTAATTTTTATCCATTAACAGGAGTGATGACATCAGCAGCACGTATTTCTGCTCGAATTAAGCTCCTGTAGCCGAATCTTTACTTCAGAGACACATTTAAAAAGTTAAACGTAAATGAACGAGCTGACGTCTGACAGCTGTGTAATGTTCGTTGTTAAAGCCTCTTTGTGCTCGATTTTTTCTCTTCTACTCGGTCTCGGATGATAGCGCCCTCTCCTTGATCCCGGTTCTGTTTTAGGTCTCTTCCTGTTAAAAGTGAGTTCCTCCTTCCCACTGTCGCCGAGTGCTGCCAATCCGGTTGTTCGGTGATGACGCGACGAATCCTACTTCCGGGCCTAAAGTAGTCTGCGTTTAATATGGCTTTTGTGTTGTTAACATGTTTAATGTTTTGTATTTTCTTCTATTTAATCTCAAAAAGCTCCTAAAACAGTCAGTGATCCCTGTTGACCTCCCTCGGCTTTTATTACCGCTAATCATTTATTTAAGCTCAGTTTTTAAAACCTTAGGATGTAACTACAGCCCAGCCCATGCAGCAGTACATGAATGACTAACCTCGTATTGTGGATGGATTATCTCAGTTGTTCTCCTGGCTGAAGTTTGGTCCTTTTACAGCATCCTGCCATGCGATTACATTTGTTCCTGACCACCGAGAACACTCACGTTAACTTTTATCGAGTGGAAAAAAGTTAGCTTGTTTATATTATGCTAACATAGCTGTGTCGCTAGCGGTCACGTAGCACATCATTATATACCAGCTAGCCCAACTTCAGTAACCCTACAAACGTCACTGCTGTTTAGTTTTCTGCCTTCATTTATGTTGGAAGTGATAACAGAGCTGTACGTTTGAATTTGTTTCCAAAACCCCGCAGTCAGGACATGCTATATTGTATTTAGATAGAAGCTAGCGAGCTAACTCCCTGCTAACTTCTAACTCCGTTAAATGTCATAAATTCCGTTTTCATGGATGCCTGGATGTTAAACTCAATTGTTACACCTGGTAGAGCAGAACGCTGATCATTTTATTAAAGATGAAAGACTTTAGACAGTTTTTCAACTCTCAGTAATGCCACAGTGATCGTTTGATATATGGACCTGCAGCGGAGTTTAGGCCCAGACTCGGCTAGTGGTGTCAGACTGAACAATCGGATAGCAGATCATCTGATTATTGGTTTTTTTTCTCTCAAACACTGTAGTTATTTACCTGATGTTAGACAGTTTCTTGACATGATGCTGTGAATTGCTGTCACGTAACCTTTACTGTGTGGTGATGAGGGGCAGCCAGAGATGTTGTTCCATACTGACACAACAGCATCCATAATCTCCTCTGTTGGACTCTCATGATGAACATTTTGAAAAAATCTTAATGTTGTTAGCTTTTACTTAATTTGCTCATGCTTGTATGGTTAATGAAAACTGGGGTGTCTTCCTTTAGCAAGCCTTGGAGATACTTCCACATATTAAAATGATAAAAAAAAGACCAAAACTAAGCAAAAACTGAACAATTTTAAAAAATCAAAGCAAAAAATGAAAAAAGCAAACTCACTCTGAACCCAAACTCAAACCAACGACTGAAAATGAATTAAAAACTAATAAAAACCAGAGAACTCTTTGTCTTGCACAGCGTGTCCAGGCTGCACCGTCACAAAGAGCGAACTCGATATTCTCGCTATGGAGAAACATCCGGAGACATTTTCCAGGGTTCTTGTGTGAAAACAGCTTTAGTTAAATATCAGGTTATACACTTGGTTTGGAAGAATATATAGAAAACTGATACGAGTCCTCTCTCAGCTGTTTGAATACTAAAGCGAAAAATGTCAACATGAACTAAAAATAGTTTATTTTTCAGTGTCTTTTTGTCCCCTGCGTGCCCGCTCTCACGTGCCTTCGTCGCCTCCATTAAATGTCAGTTTCGTGTTATTATGTATTATTAATAAGCAGAAAACAGAAACTGGGGCATGTCTTAAACAGCTAATAAAAACGGCGACGTTAAAACAAAAGCACACGAACCGTATTCGCCTACTGAAGGGGAGCGTGTGCGCATCCTGATGTGGCACAGCAGTGACACAAATAACATTTTCTAGATTTTGTTGTGACAAAAAAAAAGAAAAAATCCCATCTCCCATTGTTTGTAGAGGCTCAAAGGATTAAACAAAGTCAACAGTGATGGAGAGGCACTGATCTTCTGAAGTATTTACATTCGTGTTTTTTGTCTCTCCCGCTTCCCCCTGAAGGCGCTTCTATATTTTTCCACTCGCGGGCTTCGGTCTTTGAGTTTGTCTTTCGGTTGGGTAAATGGCAGCCTCGGCGACAGACAGGTGCTCTCCATCATGCGGCCCCAGAGGGGCTCCGGCACAAGACAAATGGGTCTGGAAGCGTGGCCCCGCCCCCATTCCACCTGGCTCGTGTCACGCGGCGTCGTGGGACTTGTAGCGTTACCGCGAGCCCCGGCGCGTCCCGAGCATCCAGCAACTCATCACTCACCACAAAACAGCGGAGACGCGGAGGCTGAAGTAGACAAGTTTATTAATGATAATAATGAGGATGATGAGGATGATGATAATATTAATAATTAGTCATAATTATAATAACGTTAATGTCATAATAAATAGAACTCTTCATCTGAAGCACGTAAAGAGAAGCATACAGAAAGAGAAAAAACAAAAACACAAAGTTCAGAGTACAGAGCCAGAGGAGGGGGCGGGGACTTCTAGAGACATTTTTTTTTAACCTTTCAATATATCCATTTAATTTTTTAACATTTTTTTAAACTTTATTTAACTGGAACATTTACAAAAGGAGAAAGAGTTAGATTTTAAAAAATCCTTATAAATAAATTTCGTCATTATTAGAACAAAATACAAGATTTCAGGGGAGTCAGGATGTTTTTTTGTTTTTTTTTCTTTTCCCCCTGAAAGGACAGCCGGGGGCGGGTAGGACGGGAGAGGGAAGGGAAGGTCATTATGTACAGAACACCAGGAATACAAAAGGGGACCGGTCAACTCACATACTAGAAGGCTGGGGGCAGGGCAGGGGGGGATTGGGATGGTAGTACTGGGGCGGGTGTGCTGGAGGCGGGGACAGGGCAGGGGACTCTCAGAGGGGACATCCTGCTAGTGTCACAGCTCAAGCAGTTGTGCTCAGGAAGATCAGGACCAGTTCGTTATACTAAAGGCATCTGAAGGAAGGAAGGAAGGAAGGAAAGAAGGGAGGGTCACTTCAACCCCACACACACACCCACCCCCGCTCCATCCCACTGTTAAGGCGCAGGCTGGAGTTTTGGACACAACAAATGGATGCAGATGTAAACTTGGAAGTTCAGACTTTGCACCGGCGGACAGAGACAAACAGCCACAGTTAAAACGACCCCAAAAAAACAAAAACATGAAACAAAAAGTCCCTAAAAATTTTCATGTATCCTATAATCCAGACTTGACCACTGGAGAAAGAGACATTACAAACATCTAACTACTCAGATTACATCATTTAAAATGTAGTAGATACTTTTCATATTGACACGGATCAAAAGACTTTTTTTGTTGTTTTTTTAACTGTTCGAGCGCAGCTCCCGTGAGGCTTGGTGAGCACGTTTAAAGGAAGCTTTGTTCACAGGAGCTGTTCTCAGTCAGAAAATGTGACAAGATAACTTCATGCAATGAAAGCTACTAGGACAGAATTCTACCCGTAAGCAGGATGAGCTCTATTCTTTACACGTACCAGCAAAAAGTTATAAAGGACAACATTTTCTCTCTCACTCCGTCTGTTTTTTCTTTTCAAGATAATTCAAAAGTTGGCCAAAAGTCATCTGTAAAGCTGTTTACACGCTCGAACACTAAAGAGGAAGCGATGTACCCACGTTGTGTGCACACGTGTAGTGTCGTTGTTTTAATGGGCAGGAATGCAGGTGAAAATCACCTTGAAGCTGCGGCTCTAACGTGGTGTTCAGACCAAACATGAAACAGAGTTTCACTTTGTGTGACTCTCATGAATGCGGTTGCTGGTTTTGGATCGTTTTGCAACCCCTAAATATTCACCCCAGCGACCGATGGGACGCCCGGTTCCAGATTTCCTCTGAAACTTTCTCCAAACTCTTCCTCCCCCCTCGTATCTCTCGGATGCTGAGTCAGGGGAAGCAGCTGATCGGCTTTAACAGCACAGCTTGAAGTGAATTTCTCGCTGAAACCCCGCGGCTGTTTATTTGCCTCTATTCTCGCCTCACCCGGTGCAAATCGGTTTGAATTTGCACCTTTTGCATAGACTGTGTGTATCAAAATTGGTCTGAACACGTCATTAGATTTAGCGATGGTTTAGTGATATTTGCTCATCATAGTCATGTAAGTTGTCCAGTGTGACGTAAAAACTCTGTTTTCATTCTTTGTAAAACTTTTTTTTTTGTTTTGTTTTGTTTTTTTAGTACAAGGTAGAAAAAAAAGCGGGTCGGGTTAATTTCTAAATGGAGTCATCGCTCGGTTTTCCCAGCGGAGGGGCGCCGACGCCGTTTGCAGCACATGTAGCAGAGCAGCATCATGGAGTCGAGGCGTGTCTCTATTCTAAGTTGCTAAAGTGTTTCTGAAATACATTGCTGGAATACTGAACGGTGACCACATCGTTAGTTATTTGATATATCGCTCTAAAATACTGTGTACTTACATATCTATAAAAGAATACTGGCCCATATAAATCCTCATCAGAATGTCCTGCTGCCTAAACACTGGTGTGAGCGCCGGCCTCAAAAATCCAGCAGACTCTAAAGAGAATTGCACGAAATCCCGAACTACTCTTACTAAAACTACGACGACTACTGTGACTAATATTGTTCAGAGGAAAAACTAGAGAAACGGTTATACTGACTGTGAACCACTGTACTGTAAAAATTCAAGTTAGCAGTTAAGAACTAAAACCGTGGCAGCCTAATATATTACATGCGTCTGCATCGTCGCCCCGTAGAAATGCTTTATATTGACCTCTGACATCAAATGCAATAAAATGAGCAGAGGTGCAGTGTAGTATCGTGTGTGTGTGCCAGATGTATCTGCAGAGCTTCATTGTTGGCCAGAAACAGTTAAAATCCCAGCAGGGAGCCACACTGTTGTCCTTGATTACCACGGAAACACACACTATAGTTTACTCTGACCTGAACCCACACACACACCTCTGCTGCCACAAATACTCACCAGAGCACCAAATGCGGATTAATCAGCTGCTGGAAACAGTCCCTAAGTAATGCACTTCAGTTTGAGCAATGCTTACAAAAAGTATAGCGGCCAGCTGCTTCCTCGGTTTTAAAGGGGACTTATTTCAGGTTTATATCATATATGTGAGAGATTGCTGAAGCCTTCGTTTAATTAGGCGAACGTGTGTTATTGTAATCCCTGTGAGCTGAAAGCTTGAAGCGTTGGATCTCCTTACACGGTCGTCTCGAGAATCTCCCCTCGCCTGAAGCTCTGGGAGCCAATCAGAAGAAAAAGAAGGATTTTAAGACTAAAGGCGCCAAAACGGCTTTTCCAGGAGCGGCGTAACGAGCCAGGATACGATCGATACGAGTTTTTTAAATATGCGAATCACACATAATAGATTCTTGTCTTCACTATAAACCAAGAGACACGGTCAAAGTGGAAGTCAGAAAAACAAGAAAAATCAGAAACAAACTTTTTTTTTTTTGTCTTGTGTTGAGATTTGCTGACAAAATTAAAATGCATAATAATACCAGTGTTATCCGTTTAGGTTTTATCAGCTAGGAGTTGACTAGAAGAAGTAGAGAAAAGTGCTGTCTACCCAGAATGTGCCTATCACACATGACATCAAGTGTTCTTGTTGCAGAATGCATAGATATTTCAGTGGACAAAATCCGAACATCTGACCAAAACCTAAAGTTCGTTAAAAAACAAACGACAAACTGTGGCTCTTTATCGCTGCTGATCATGTAGTGACCATTTAGGTTTCCCCCGTTTTCCTTTCAGAGAAGCTCTGCTTTCCACAAAGTTGCCATCGAAGTAAAACTCCAGCCTGCTCCTGCGTTGCTTCTGACCTACCGCGGGGCTGTAGCCCGTAAGTAGGCCAGAGGAACCGCGTGACAAACCTACAGGTATGAAGACGCTAAGCCTGCGTGTGATCGCTGCATGGGAGAACGAATGACCGACTTTACCCCAATTAGACTTCACGACAGTTAGTTGGCATGATATAGATACTCTGTAATATATGAGAAGCTGTCTACGGATGAACAGAGGTCGCGTGGGTAGGAGCCCTGATTTAGAACAAGTACATTTTTTTTTTAACCTGAAATAAGATGAAGTTAATCAAGAAGTGTGAGGTGAGATTTACTGTACAGGATATTAACAGTACACACTGTAGTTTTGTACAGGAAGTCAGGAGCTTAACCTAGTCTTACCCTCTTGTAACCACTCACACAAAACCACTACCAAGTAGTGTACCCTGAACTCTCAAACAAAGTTGTGCTTCACCCGAACCCGCTCGCCTCTGATAAAGTTTCTCCTCAGGGCCAGCAGGTTGTTTCCAATACGCAATAAAACCGCCCGCCCACCAGGGTCAGCGCCAGAACAGCGGCTCATAAACCGAGGCAGCTGCCGCAGGAAGCCGCGAGCCGGGCTTCGTCAGCGAGGCTCGTTACGTTAGCGGGAGAGCGAGCTCTACCTCGGCGGCGATGAGCGAATGAAATCTGGGTCACGTCAATACACATCCGGGCTCCGCCGTCATCACCGAGTCCCGCTGTCTCCTGATCAAAGAGCACTGAGACTGTGTGTTCAAATCATGCTTTGGTTCAAGTAAGAAAAGAAAAATCAATATTCATAAACTTTTTATCCCACTAAACTTTGCGCTAATTAGCAAGTGCTGGAGCTCCGGCGCGGGGCCGGAGTTAGCGCGCAGATGTGGTTCTTTTTGTGAAGTGTCTGAAAGTGGGATGTGGTGTTTTTGCTCAGAGTGGGGCACAAAAAAAGAGGGGAAAAAGCAGTTTGGGGATTGTGTGTGTGTGTGTGATCCTGCCTGTGTTGTTAACCTGTGTGTGTTTGTGCACAGTATACATTTGCTTGTGTGGTAAACGTGGGATTCGGGGGGCGATGTCGGGGGAGATCAGTTCACACTATCACCGTCACACTTTCAATCATATAACACATGATCACATGTTACAGTAAATATCAGGGACATATTTAGTGGGAGGGGTCTGATATCTATGTTGGGGGCCAGAGGCTTTCCTGCCCACCCCCTCTATTCCCTGACATCACCACAGCCCATATAATAGATATGTATATATATTTATATACAGAAAAAGAATACATACTTATTGGACACCCTAGACATTAAAGTACATTCAAAAACTGAACCAACATTCTTGATTTAACACGTTTACAGTGATTTTTCCTGATATAAAGAATTAAGGTTTCGCTTCCACCAAATTAAAACTTTTTTTTTCCTGTTTAAAACTTTCAGTGCTGCAAAAAAATACAAAAAACACACAAATAAATATTCTCAGAATACACGGACAAAGAAAAGTTGACATATTTCAGCCCTAGTTCCTCGATTACCGTTGGATGGGCACTACTGTATTTCTATATGTTTTATCTAGCGACATAAGTCTATATGCCTCAGGCTTGTGTTTTGGTTATGCACCTGCTGATGTAGTACGATGGGATTATTCGATTATAATTCAATTTGTTACATGGACGTCGATGAGTTATTCTCGTCAGGTGGAAACGTGCATCCTTGGTAGTCGTACGCACCTTATCGTCGCGTTGGTCTGACAGTTTGTCCGTCGGTGCGGAGTGACGCAAAGGCTTGGGCTCGGAGTCTGGCAGGTGAGTAAAGTCGGCGACTTCTGCGCCGTGTTCTCTAACTAGTCCTCAGTCAGTGACCTCTGCTGGGGCGTGGAGAGGGGCAGACGGGGAGGCTCGGCTTTACACCGTCTCACCGTCCCGCCGTGGCTCACCCCCCCCACTCCCCAACGCTGTAAACCAGTGATGCTGCCCATTGGGGAGGGCGGGGATGCCCAATGGTGCTGCCGGGAGGAAGTGACATCACAACAGTATCCACGGGGGACGCTGCTAACGCTAGGCGCTGCAGGCCAGTGACACCGCAACAAGGAGGAAAGAGCGTCATCACCGGCCCGAGAAGGAAGGAAGGAGTTTTGGGGAGGTTGGAAGGAAGAAGGCGGAGCAGTGAGACCAGGAGGTTGACCTTTGACTCCACCCACAGGAAGTACAGCATAGAAAGTGCTTCTGCCTGGATGCCGAGCTCTCCCTGCCACCTTTTCTGTTTTGTTTTGTAACTTTTTTTTTTCAAACACGACCTCGGCGACAGAGCAGTGTGCCACAGAGAGAGGAGGGGGGGCGGGGCTCCTCCCTCCTCCTTCCTGCATACCACAGAATCAGCATCAAGGGCCAACTGTTCATCTCCCTTACCAAAAAACATAAAAACAGATTTGTACATATATACTGCTTTATACACACTTTTTTTTTTACCATTGTAAATCACAAAAGTATAGAAAAATAAAATGTTTTATAATAACGGGACACTTTTCATTCTATCTCTGTCTTTTTCTACCCGGCAAAAAGGTGGTCCCTGGTGGAAACTGGCTCACTCCGTCTGTCAAGTTTGTGGCTGGTTTGACACCACTGCCGCGGCGCCACTTTGTACGCCTCCCGTCTTTCCTCGCCAGCCTCAGTAGAGGGACTCCTCCTTGTCTTCTTCTTCTTTTGTTATTTTCTTAAAGCTAGTTCTCCTCTCTTCGTTGTTTTCATCTGTGATGTCCATCAATACTGAGTACAGCTCTTCATTTTGTATTTACTAGAAACAGGGGAGAGAAGCGGGGAGACTGGTGAATATGCAGAAAGTTATGTTTCTGATAGACATGCATAATGAGAGGTGCTGTGAAGAGTCAGTGTGCAGCAGCTCGGTGCAACTTTGTGCCTCTCTGAGTAAGTTTTTTGGGGGCGAGGATCGTGTCGCCGACAGCATAGTTCCCTGAGAGAAACCAACACTGGTAAACATATGGAACAACGTATGGAGTAAACAACCCGCGCTCGCTTTAAAGCCCCCTCCGCCCCATCTGTGCAATGTACACTAAAAAAGTTCAGAAGTTGAGGTTAAGACACGGCGTGGAAACCGCCAACAGGAGCCACAGCGTCTACAACTCAACTGCGAAAAAGTTTGGGAGCTCGGCGTCATTCGCGTTTCATCGCGCTCTTGTAATGCGGCATAAAAGAAGCGGGAGTAGAGGTCTCACGCCTGCCAAAACCAAAGCTACTGCTCTCCCCAGGATACAGATCAGAGCGAGCTGTAATCGTGCGAGTGGAGATCGGCAGTTTGGCAGCACAAAGTGAAAAGTCTCAGCGTATAATGGGGCCGGATGGCAGCTGGGGAGAGAGGGGTGGAGGGGTGTGGGCGAGGCGAGTGTCCCGGGACCCTCGTCGTGACAGACGCTTCCTAATTCACAGTGATCTTCGGCAGCTCTGTTGAGCTTCTGATGAAAAAATAAATAAATGAAAGAAGATGAGGCTTTAATTTCAGAATGGCTTTGTAGTGCATCACCCCGCCCAGTCCCCCCACCACCTCCTAACCAGCAGAGACAAACAGTCAAACAAGTGGCGTGCTCAATCAGCCTCCACCCTGCACCCCCGCCCCAATCTGGCTCTTCCCAGAGAGGAACTGGCCCAAGCTTTTCCTCTCCTCTATCTATTCTATACCTCGGATTTACTGAGCGCTCGCTGGGGACCCGCCATACAAAAATATCCACATGCGGTCTTACGGCTCAGCAGGGAGGGAGCACAATAGCGCTGCAGCTACATATAGGCCTCGCTGTCAGGCAGCCTGGAACTGGAAGGACTGCAGACACAAATATATTAATCACCCACGGATGTGAAGGATTCAGGGGAGGGGATGGTTCAGGCGTGAGAGCCTGTGCTGCTCTCACTCATAGTTTGTGAAGTCTGCTTAACAGTGCGCATGTTAGCTTTGAGCCCTGCGGACAGTTTGGGGTTTATTTCCTCAAGTTTTAATCTGTTTGTGCTGCCACCGTGCAGTGAAGAGGAGCGGACGCTAGTTTGGATGTTGCTGGAACGTTACACGGGCTAAACAGTCGCGGGATCGTCATTAAGACAAAGGCAGAGTAGGTGAAGATCCTTAAACACTGTCACCACTACAGAAAATAATCTTTGAGCTCTGAAACCCGCCCTTCCAAATCCGAGGTGTGTAATCACAGCTCAGAGGGGTTTGAAGCTTATTTGTGCTGCTCATCTCTAACAGAAGTGAGGCTCTTATCCAAGTCCTCAACACCTTCAGCTGCACGCAACCGCCTCCACAGCGTCATCAGGTAGCTAACCGACAGCGTCCATCCGTCGCGTTTCCCCCTCACAGTTTCTCCCTAACAGCATTTATGGTAGTGAAGGTCCTCAAAAACACCAAAGACTCCTGAAAATAATCTTTCGTCTGAGGTTAGAGGAGACCTGCTGAAACCAACTGTGTGGTGTAGCTTCTGAAGCTAATTTTGGCTGCCCGTCATAGGCAAACAAGTTGATGCAACAAGTCCGCAACCGACCTGATTGGCTCCCACGCAACCTTTTTCATCAGTTACCTCAGCGGTCCCCATCCTTTAAGGTGTGGCGGATAAATACAACAACATAATAATAAACGTGACTTCACTGTGTAATTATGTAACTTTATTAGCAGCGTCCTCCTAAAATGCACCAACAACATTGAGCGTAGCATCCTCCTGTCTGCCCCTTAATGATCTGATCGTTATGGTAACGGCTAAATATTCCTTTCAAAATAAGACACAACTACAACACGGGAAACAGAGTTAACTCTAAAAACCATAAACTTCACACCTGAGCCTCAACTCTCGCGACCCAGGGATTGGGGACCGCTGAGTCACCTGACCAAAACAACCAATCACAACAGCTGATTCAGTCTAGCGCCAACCTTTCAGTTTGTGGTGTTCATGGCCTTTAATTTTTGAGTTTATTAGTTATTATAGTTCCAGTGTGACACTACAGCTTCAATGTATTCATTTATTTCCCACAATTTATTATTAACCTTGTGCTCTAAGTTACCCATTTCCTGTTTGGATCATTTAAGCGTGATCAGATCAGTCTGTCAACCAACACAACTTATGACAGGAATACACGACAGTGGACGAGCAGTTACCTCAACTTAAATTATTAATAGTCTCATTTTTTTAATCTTTTGTGTCCCCGCTGTTTGATTTTGTGCCACAAAGGAGCAACTTTAAAAAAAACTGAAAGAGCTACACGTAGCAATAAGTTGGGCTTATTCGACGCTTAAATCTCAATGAAGCGAAGAAGAAGAAAAGATCTGTACTGACTATTTTTGTTAACTGACTTTGGTTGGTAGGAAATTTAGACTGTGGTGAGAAAGTCTTAGATTGACAAGAGCAACAACAACATCCATGTGTGAAGGCAGACATGATGATCATATAACTGCTTTATTCTGACACTCAGAAAACAATCAGAGGTTACTTATATATATGTCACATATTGACAACAAAAGAATTCATGAATAAAGAAAAGGCTCATAATAGCATACTTTTAGCTATGAAATTAACCCAAAAGAAAATTACTTTACACCTTTCAGACAATATATTTTCATTATAAAGAGAACATAGAATTCAAGAACAAGTTCAGCTGAATTGAAAATACACAGATGACCCCACTTCATATAGGAATACATATAAAACAGTTACTCAGAGAATTGTGATATTGTGTGTGTGTATGTATATGCATTTAAATGTATTTACAAGTACAGTAACTTTTTTGCTTGGTTTTCTTTTGTACAAATATTTTAGGTGGATTAATAAATTCACCTGCCAGCTTATCAGGGCTTAGTGAATACCTATAAATATAAACGATGGATGAAGAGTATTTTCAGCTGATATGTAAACATATATACTACTATTAATAAGTACCAACACATATTTGGATCAATTAGAGGTCTAGTTGCATATTAAGCTGGTTGTGGAATACAACTAAAGCAAACAAACCCAAAAATATTAAAGTGTTTGTATAATAAATTCACATTTAAGTTACCTTTGACTTACATAAGCATAATAAAAACGGCTCAGACCTCTACAATACTGACTGCCAGTTATTAATGTTATATCTTAACATTTAAGCCTTGATAAGCTGACACTGAAACGGTTAAACAATGCTTATTTTAACTTTTTCTGTAAACTGTTGACAAACCCGTGCAGACTGATAGGAGCAATTCCAGATGACAGTACTCAAAGTTGTCCCCGGAATAACATGACAGAGGGAAAAGTGGATGTGCACCCTCAAATACATCTCCATGTTCCCTTATTTGGACTGAACGTGCTCATGCTAATGCTTTGGCAAACCCTACATGTATTATATTTTTATAAATCATCAAATGTGTACGTGACAAAAATCACTGAAACAAAGTTCAACTTACAGCGTAAATCTTGATTTTAGATGAATCCGTATCCAGTTTTATATAGAATGTGATCATTAATTCGTTTTCATTTAAATCACGGCTCTCAAACTCGTGGCCCGAGGGCCACTTGGAGCCCACGATACTTATCAAGGCCGTATGTTAACATGAAGAAATATAATGTAATTTGATCCTTGAAGTTACTTTTTTGTTGGGAGGATTTGTTTGTTGTTGAGTGCAATGTTAAAAAAAGATTTAATATGAAGGCAGCATTGGCAGAGAGTCACAAACTAATGTGGACACTTATATCTGAATTTTTATTTTATTTTTAAAAATGAAGTGATAGCAGAAGTGCTGCCACGTGTGTGGCCAGAGAGGACCAAGGTGTTTATTTGGTAGTTCAATGAACGGCTTCAGTTATTTAGGAATGAGGGGAAAACTGTGTTCATGTTTGCAGTTTTGTCTTGTTATAAAGTATCTGAAATTAAAAGCAAACAAACAAAACGCTACATTATTGTAAATAGTTTTGGGTTCTTGTTTCTTTTTGTACTACTTGGTCCTCCAATGAGATCCAGTATCAGCAGTGGCCCACAGCTCATTCCAGGTTGAGACCCCTGCATTAAAACAACAGAATCTGTCGTTTGTTTGTAAACTCTGATAATTTATAGTAGTTTTGTAGCATGAAAGTAGTTCTTCCTCCCCACAGTTGATAAATTCTTCTGTTGTTTATGACAGCGTAGTTTGTGGTAGAGCTGTGATTGGCTAATAATCTATGGTTTGGACAAATTTGAGGTAATTTCTACCTTTTGACATTGATAACAGTGATCAAGCTTCACTTTCAGCCAGTTTTCATGTACGATCACTGTCTGTCAAAGCATTAGCACGTGCACCCGCTCCACTCAGGAAACTGGACGTCCAAACATCCTTCATGAGGTAAAATAAATGCTGGAGCGTGATCACATCGTCATTTTTTCATTGCCACTGAATCTTTTATGAGGTCAGAGCGTCTGTGTCGTCATGTTATTACAGGGACCGTAAGAGTGAAGTCATGCAAAGCTGTTGGCTTACTGCAAACTACAGTGTTTTAGCGAACTGCCTCCTCTCTCCTCCCTCACACTCTCAAACATTCTAATGCATATATATGTATATATATATATCACATAGGCACACACATTCAGCTCTAAAAAAGAAACAAATCGATTTCATTCCAGTCTAATAGTGGTCACTAACTGAACGCCCACACGTGTACTCTGCTGCAGAGTTTATGTGAGAAACTCCTACAAATGTACAATCAGTTCTCCCGTTTTTTAAAATGGTAAAAATAATATTCAAAGTTTGTTCTATAAAAAACCCCAAACGGTGCGGAGCGTACGTACTAGCAT